GTTGGCAACTGAAAAGTTTTCCTTTCCTTTGGAGCTCAATTTCCACAAAGAAAGAAGGCCTGTCAAAAAAAAATGCGTCAAGAATGAATTGGTTTGACAATGCACAGTTTTAACTGGGACGGAAGTAATCAACTGTAGCTCATTGTGATATAACTTTGTTCAAACACAGTGGAAAGTGACACAATTTGCCGTCCCTGCAGACCTCAGTTACAGAGCTTTTAAAACCCTTTTAGGATAATTTTCCAAGATTAATCAACTTCTTATGTGTATTTCTTCATATAATTCTAATAACATTTATTAGGAAGCAAATGGGTCATCAGAGAAAAAATAAAAAGTAATCATTGGATAGGATGTACACTGTACTGTGCAGTTGAATCCCGATTTCTCAAACCATGGACTTCTCAAAACTCCTAATAAGTCTGAGTAAAAATTGTTTCTCTTGGATTTACTATGATTATCAGTTGAGTAAGGCGGGACGAAAGTTTGGTCACCAAGTTTTAACATAAAAATCGTTTTGTTGTCACGAGCAACTGGCTCCATATCCGTTGGCAACTTGTCCGCCTTTGACGTCAATTGGCAGCAAAGCGCACGAAATTGTAGGCGACGCGACAGGCGACCAACAGCTGCTGATATTGTTACCAACGGAAACAAGGTAAGTTGCCCGTGACAACAACACGATTTTTACGTTAAAACTTGGTGACCAAACTTTCGTCCCGCCTTACTCAACTGATAATCGTAGTATTTCACCCTATTTTTACGTCAGATATATGTATCTCGGGACAAGATGGGAATCTACATGTATTGTCCTGTAATTGTTAGATATTAGATAGATCTTGAAAACCCCTACTATGCCTTGAATGGAATCTTGTTTCCCTTCGAAGTTCAAGAAATCACTTTCAATTGGAAATAAAAAAAATATTTAGTTCTGAGAATTTTGAACATTAAAGCAACTTAGTTCAACTGGAATACAATTTACAATTCCACAAACTACCATAAAAAAATATTGATATGTGTTTTTAGCTGAAATATTTGGGTAT